AGGTTGGTGCATAATCCGAAATGCACGACGATACGACACATAGGGAAACCCATGGCTGGTCACCATGACTATCATAATGGACGTAACTGATTGATCCTGAGGCATTCTTGCTACATCGTTATATATATATATATATATATATATATATATATATATATATATATATATATATGTATACCTTTTCATCATTTCACGTTCGCAGTACTTTAAGATTTGGTTCCTCGGGATGAAATCGGCAGGCAGAAAATGACGTATTGGTGTATATGGCATAGCCAACACATTTTCAAAGTAAGCGTGCCGGATGTATTTATACCCGTAAACTATAGGTCTCGCCCCGTTGATGCCATTGTCTGTGCATTCCATATTGGTATCATGGGTCGCCATGATCTTGCAATTCCTGCTAGATCCGACGCCAGCGGTTGGGTCCCAATCAATGCATTTTTATCCTGAAGCAGACTCAAAAGGTCACTCATGATCGTTTGGGTATTAATGAAGGGACCATTTGCTCGGAGCGATATGAAGATTCATACATATGGGAAAATTGTGATTGGCATCATGTTAGCTCGAAATGTAATGACATTTTATTCCGATCTTTTTTATTAAAGGAAACACGGCGCACGTCGTCGCACACTCCTTTATGGAGCCACAGCGAATGCAGAGGCCATGTTAGCATCCAGGGGCCGTGGCACGACCGGGGTTCGAACTCGGGCCTCCCAAGTGGGATCCGAAGGTCATTACGGTCATTACGCCCCTTCGGCCACTACATCCATTCGGCGGCCTTACATGACGCCCTAACCACTCTGCTATTACGCCCCCTTGCCTTACCATTAGCATCAACGAGAAGCCCATATTTGTACTCAGCTTGTTCTGCGGCCTGTGCCGGACCACGCCACCCCGTGATGAGTTAGCACATCGTTCAAAGATCCGGGAATAACGTGACAAGTCAGCTGGGCCCAGAGGTTGATCTCGGACGCTTTTTATAGCGCAGTCTGGCATGCGTCCCATCTCTGGCGGCTGAGTGGTTTGTTTGTCCACGAGACCATGTCGGGGTAGGACAGCGTCTCCCAGCTCAGCTCCGGAACGACAAACACGCAGATGAGGTGGGAGCTTCGCTTCCTAGCAGCAGGAAGCTGGCTTCTTTCCTTCATCTGTTATTGTCAGCTGTCGTTGCCAACGCCACGTCTTCGCGTTGCGCAAAACGAGGGTTGTTTTTCGCGGTCTTACAAGCCACGTGAGCTGTGGCATCAGCAGCCACAGGAGCTGCGGCATCAGCAGCCCTGCGTTGTGGAACGAAGAACAACACCATTGGAAAACTTCAACGCGTTTGATGCCGAGCCACAGGGGGCCGTCAACCTAGCGTAAGACCGTGATCAGCTACTTCATGTCACCGCTTGGGTGCCCCGTTTTGGTATGCATCGCGAGGATCGGCACGACCAGTCAGCCAGCGGTAGTGGTTGACGAGCCCCCAATTTTGTTCAGTGTTCATGACGGTGTTCATCCTGGGCTGACCACTATAGCCTGACAGTACGATAGTGATACAACAGGCTGCCGTTACTGACAGTTACGTCATAGCACCCTGATACATTTTTGAGCCAAGTGCCGGCAAGGACGCCCATCGCCGCAGAGACTCCATGTCTTTGATGATAACATTGGGACAAAATGTTTCAGCTTAAAAGCTGGCGACAACATGTAATCACCGTTTTCACACTCGACGTGCTGCGACGAAAACACTTAGCCCGTCGGACCCCGCGCGTTCGCCTGCAGCTGCGCCGCGCGGACGGCGGCGTGTCGGAGACGGACTGGACACCGGACACAGGAGCTGAGACTTCAGCCCTATGGCTTCGCAGTGCGGAAGAGATGGGCCTGCGTGGTGAGGACCTTCAGCCGCCAGTCACCCGTCTGCTGAACGCCGACAACCGGGAAATGGAGTGCGTCGGCACCGGCGGCGTCACACTGCAGCTGGGTGACGTCATCAGGACAGTGGATGTGTCCGAGATTCGCGGTCTGCACAGCCCTCTGCTGTCCTGGCACGACTGCATGGAGCTCGGCATACTCCCTCCGAGCTTCCCGGCGCAGACTTGACAGGTCAGCAGCGGCCCGCCGCGCCGGCCGACGCCGGATCAGCATGTCACCGCTGTGTCACCGCCCGTGGCGCGCTCTCCGCCGGCCGCCGGGTACCGACGCCCCGGGACCACGTCTGTCCCGGACAGCGGCGCGGCCAGCTTCAGCGTTACCGGTGCTGGGGCAGGGCCGACGGTGTCAGTGGCGGCGGCGCACGGCGCCGCGCAAGAGGCCATGTCGAAGCAGCGAGAAGCCGGCTCGTCCTCAGACAGAGAAATGGAACCGCCCATAACACGGTCGGAGCGCCTCGCTGGGACCGGTGGCGCCGCCCCGACACGGCAGAGAACCGGCGGCGACGCCCCAGAACAGCAGAACACCGGTGGCGCCCTCTCGGCACAGCAACGGAAACATCAGTTTGAAGCACTGAAGGCTGAGTTTCCCCGCGTCTTCGACGTCCAGTCACCTCTGCGGAATATCGTGGGAGAGCCGATGCGAACCGAGCTGAAAGATGACGCCGTCCCCCATGCGGCATCGACAGCGAGGAACATTCCGTTCTGCTGGAGACAGAATGTCAGAAAGAAGCTGGACGACTTCCTCAGCAAGACCATCATAGAGCCCGTCGAGCACCCCACGCCGTGGTGTCACCCCAATCGTCCCGGTGGCGAAGCGGTCGCCAGATGGTGCAGCGTCAGGCTGCCGCCTCACGGCCGATTTTACGAAGCTGAATCGACTCGTGAAGAAGCCGTCCCCCCAGTCCGCTCGCTGCAGGACGCGGTGGCGGCAATCACGCCTGGCGCGGCCGTCTTCACCAAGCTGGACGGCAAGGCCGGCTACCACCAGGTCCCAATCAGAGAGGAGGATCAAGATCTGAATTGCTTCATCACGCCGTGAGGCAGGTTCAGGTACAAGAGGGGCCCAGATGGGCATCGTCAGCACAGGCGATGTTGACAACCAGCGCGGCGATGCCGCCCTGGGAGACATCCCGAACACCTGCAAAGTGGTGGACGATGTGTTCGCCTATGACTCTGAGTACGAAGCCCATGTGCCGCACGTGCGCCAAATACTTCAGCGGTGTTAAGAGCATGGGATCACCTTGAACGCGGAAAAGTGCTGCTTTGCGGAGGCGGAATTATAATTCTGCGGCTACAACATCAGCTCGACTGGCTACACCACTGACGATAAGAAGATTCGAGTCATCAAGTCGTTCCCGAAGCCCAGCAACATCACCGACCTGAGATCATTCCTCGGCCCAGTCAACCAGCTGGGGCCCTTCTCCTCTGACGTCGCCGCTGCTGCTGAGCCGCTCCGTGAGCTGCTGCGGCCGCGGAACGCCTGGCTATGGACGCCTGGCTATGGACGCCTGGCTATGGACGCCGGCTCACGATCAGGCGTTCGCCGCCGCGAAGATGGTGCTGCTGTCGCCTCCCGTGCTGGAGTTTTTCAATCCACTGCGGCGGACGGTGCTGGAGACTGACGCAGCCCGCGCCGGCGGTCTCGGCTTCTGTCTCCCTCAGCTGGACAGGGCTGGCCGGTGGCGCCTGATCCAGTGCGGATCTCGGTTCCTGTCGGAGACGGAGTCACGCTAAGCAGTGATTGAACTCGAGCTGCTGTCCCTGGCGTGGGCGTGCCGAAAATGCAACATATATCTCAGCGTTATGCAGCAGTTCGAGATGATGACGGATCATCGGCCGTTGATCCCCATTCTTAACTCGAAAAGCAAGGCGGACATCGAGAACCCTCGTTTGCAACGTCTCCGAGAGCGACTCGACCAGTTCAACTTCGTCGCCACCTGGCGGCAGGGAAAGCCGCACGCCATCCCAGACGCGCTGTCTCGGGCGCCCGTGGATGACCCAGTGCCTGATGACGAGGAAGCGGAACAAGGCGTCAGTAACCAGATCGCCGGCATGGTCTCCAGGCTCGTCAGTGACGTCACCGACACCGACGGTGGCGCCAGCCCGCTCCGGGACATCGTGCTGTCGGAACTCCGCGCCGCCGCCGAGAAGGACCCGGAGATGATCGCGCTGAAAGATGCCATCTCGACCGGTTTCCCAGAGCATCGGACGCAGCTGGAGCCGCTGCTGGACCCCTACTGGGGCTTCCGAGACTGTCTGGCGGTGGATGACGGCCTGGTGGTGTGCGGTCGGCGGTTGGTGATCGCCGCTCTCCGTCACGACGCTCCCCAGAAACTTCACGCCAGCCCCCAGGGAGTCGAGCGGACCAAGAGGCAGGCACGGCAGGCGGTGTACTGGCCCCGGGTGGACCAGGACATCACGAACTTCATCGGCGCCTGCAGCAAATGTCAACTGCACCTGCCCAGTCAGCAGAAACATGATGACAGAGAAGGCACCCTCGCGAGTGTTCGAGGCCGTCTCCGCGGACTACTTCGCCTGGGCCGGACGGACCTTCCTGGTCTACGTTGACCGCCTCTCTGGCTGGCCATTCGTGTCACGGGTAACCGGAGAGGCGTCAGCCAGAGACCTGGTGAGCAGCCTACGCGGCATGTTCGCCACCACCAGCGTACCGGCCTACATCAGGACCGACGGAGGGCCCCAGTTTAGCGCCCGGCCCACCAGTGAGTTCTGCCGCCGGTGGGGTGTGGACCATCAACAGTCAACACCTCGCTACCTGCAGTCCAACGGGCACGCAGAGGCTACCGTCAAGGCCGTCAACGGCTCGTGCAGAAAACCACCGCCGGCGGAGACCTGAACACGGACGACTTCACAGCCGGTCTGCTGGAGCTGAGGAACACCCCGCGGACGGCCGGCCGATCTCCAGCGCAGATCTTGTACGGTCACCCGCTGCGCTCAGCTGTCCCGGTGCACCACCGTACGTTCGCTCAGCGCTGGCGGGAGGCCACGGACGACTGCGATGCCAAGGCGGCAAAACTTCTGGAGCGCTCCGTAGAGCGGTATGACGAGTCGGCGAGGTGTCACCGCCCGCTACGGGTCAGGCGGCGCGTCCTCATCCAGGATCCGACCTCTCATCTGCGGGACCGCGCCGGCACCGGCACCGGCATCGGATCGCGGCGTGACTACCTCGTCCGGCTACCGAGCGGCCGCAGCTTCTGGCGGAATCGCCTGTTCCTCCACCCGCTTCAACCCCTGATCGCCAGCGCCGGCAGTCAGCAGGACAGCGCGACGACCAGCGACAGTCAGAGTCACGGAGTGGATGGACCAGATGATGGCGCCGCCGGCGCCGTGCCCAATGAGCACCTGACCTGCCCCGATGACGCCGGAGACGAGGACCGCTGAGCCAGAGGTCCCCAATGACAGCGCGCCGCCCAGCTTGACCGGCGGCCTGCCACGACCCGCGGCTGACACACCCGCCAACACCGCGCCGGCGCCTATGTTGTCGCCGCCACCTCCGCTCCGATCCCCTCGACCCACTCGGCGGCTGTCTGTCTGGTGGTCAGACGCCGTGTCGAGCACGACTGGGTCTCCAGACGTCGCCGCCGACTTGCCGCCCAGCCTGGCCGGCGACCAGACGCGCGTTGCGTCTTACATCACGCCCATCACGGACCCGGCGCCTGCGGCGTCACCGCCCCCCCCCCCCCGCCCCCGCCCCCGCCCCCGCCCCCGCCCGAGCGGGAGCCGAGGATCCGCCGCCAACCACAGCGTCTGTCAATCAGGTGGTCAGACCCGACGTACACGTGTATGTGGACGACGCCCTCCCCCCCCCCCCCCCTCCACTTGTCAGCCGCAGCCCTCGTGTGTTTCTTGTTTTGCCGCAGCCTGAGCTCGTTTAGCCTAGAGTTATCTTTCTAGTGGGGCGTTAAGTCACGCTCATGTGTTAACCTTGGACCTATGTTAGACGTCTCGTGTGATCTCCTCCCGCAAGCGTCTTGGGAGGAGGTGTTGGGATGCAATGTATCTGCATCACCTCCCTTCATACAGGGAAAGTGATGCAGGGATTTGGTTGCCCTTCGTTTTGCTTATTTTGTGTGGCAGCACAGGAATACAGTTGCCGTCAATGCTCCGAGTCGTGCGCGTGTGTGGTTCAAAACATAAAGCATCAATCGTATTTGTTGACAACGGGTCGAACCCGAGTGACACTTGCCCGCGCGGACATAACACATGCTGCAGTCGAAGCCGTGAATGACATAATTGTTGAGTGGTTCATATCTGGCGTTCGTGAGCCACTCTGGCGTTCGTGAGCTATTCTCAGATATAACGGCCGTCAATTGGCTCTTAATCGATGTTGTGCAAGGTGCGATGACGCAATCAAACAATGACGTATTGGGGAGCATTTTTACTGAATAGAGAAATTGTGTTATCCAGAGCAGTCTCTCCCATTTAGAAGCATACCAGCAGCTTTGGTAAATCCGCACTGATTTGACCACGGCCGACCACAGATCTTATAACAGGCCAATCACGATGACCGGGCTGAATCTGCTGTCCACTCCTTGTGCAGTGTGGCGAAAGGCCCGGAGTTAACCCATACTGGCACGTTAATACGATTGGGGTTGGCGGTCGAGGCGCTGTTGGTGGCCTCCCACCGATCATGAGATGCTGGTGAGTTTCAGGCGCCGTGAAGTGAATCCATTATAGCGTCGATGTTGAAGCCCAGCAACCGTACAGCACATCCGGCAGATTTTCGCCCCATTGCGCGTGCTCCATCTATATGTAAGCTGTTCTTTATGTAAATTATATGTAAGCAGATGTAGCTGTCCGTCCGCCATGGTTTTTAGAACGGTAGAATATTTTCGCGGACAACCAGTGCAGTTTTAGGGAAATCGGAGTATGGTTGGGTACATCACATAACGCAGGACATTACGTTGCACGTCATTGCCAGGGAATAACTCGCTGATAGCGTTTTTTAGTATTAAAATGAATGTGATAGCGCATGGTGTTATGGTATACTATAAAAAATGATTACGAGATCCGTTGAGCGATACGTTCTGGTCATCCGTCTCCACACATTCTTGCCTTTGACTAACTTCCTCGCTGACCTGTCCAAAGTTCATGCTGACGTTCATTACTCATAACAATGTCTCATAGCAATATCTCGTAACAACGCTCATAACAATGCCTGCAAAAGAACGGTGTGGCCAGGGCATTGTCTTCTTTGTTTGCGAGTCACGATAAATGACCCTGGACATACACTCTCACAATTGATTGATCGATCTTCATTCGTTGGCGATTTCACAGTCTGGCGCCCCTCGTCAACACAGCTTCTATGGAACGGTAGTTGCAGCTGTCGTTGGCCCGGCTGGAGAAATTGAATACGCTTTATTAATTAATAGAAGCCGTCTCCATCCCCGTGTCTCTATGCCCAACCGATCCCCGCCGAGCCGGCTGCGCGCTGCTTGGACATGCTTCTAGACAGTCCATTGGCACATAGCAGACATCATTTGCAGTCTAACGGAACTAGCGTTTTAAAGCTTGGAGCGTTCTGAAGTGTACCGCTCGCACCTCGAACCATGCGGATCTGGTGGCATTCTTACTGCTGTACTACCCGTTGCTAACCTCTAAGGTCGAATACAGTTGTTTTATCTATAACGGTGCGCACAGCTCGCGAAAATCCATGTTGGACAGTGCGTATCACACCACTCATTGCTCACACCACTCAATTATCATTGCCACAGGTACATTCAGGACATTTCTAGACATTAGCCTTTTGGTGGGGGCGGACGAGCCACGGTTGCCGTTCAGGGGATAAATGCCTGGAATACGTTTCGCACACAAGTTGGCACAATGCTCTAACCAGCCGACGCATAAAACAGTTTTCACGATGCGGATGGGGGGCGGGGGGATGGCAAAGTACGACCTTTCTTTAACCTTACTCGCTTGGCGGCCTTTTCGGACTGTGAACCTTTCAGCCGCATGCTCTATCTGACATGTTATTTCAACCCTCGCCCTACGAAAGATTTTTACGCAGCTTTTGATATATATATATATATATATATATATATATATATATATATATATATATATATACGCATACTTAACAGACAAATTGCGTTGGCAGTTTTCACTTTAAAGTACGCCAGTAGCTAGAAGTGAGCTTGTTTCATCAGAGCTCATGCTTATTTTAATATTTTGAAAAGTGGCACAAACCCCGAAATAGAGTTTTCGGCTCTTAGTGGTATGTTCGTCACATCCAGTAATTGCCTAAATGCCTGCTTTTTATGACGAAACGCGGCCCACGATCGAGGCGTGCAATCATCAGGAAAATCTCACTAGCAGTTGATTACAGTCTGTCGTTGAGATAATCCATGTTGCATCGCCGACAACACAAATGTTTAATTGTCTATATATTTATTGACTATGAGCTTTGCACAGCCAATGAGGTGGGGGTCCTGCATGACGGTTTTATGACGTCATACATGTCCCGGTGACTCCCACGGGCGGTGCATCATAGGCTGCACAAAGTCACGCGCATCAGGCTCAGAAAGAAGAGGAAAAGGACAGAGGAAAGAGGAAAGATAAAATAAAGTAGACAAGAGGAAAAGAGAAAGAGAGAAGGACAAAAGAAAGAATACACATGGCTGCGGACTGTAGAGAATGATTATGAGAAAGATCATCTCCGTTCAAAAGCCCATAGAAATGTGGGGCGGTATCTTCAATGGTGGCTATGGGCGCAACATGATCTCCGACATCCATGTGCCCCAAAACTCGAGTGATCGCCATCATCAACCACGGCTTCACCTAGCTCCGATAGCTCTGAAGAAACTCTTCCGTGGTTATGGTTCTCGCACTCTCAAACGACGACTCCGAGCGCGGTCTTGAACAGGAATCAATGTCCTCCGAAAAAATGTCAAATGAGGCGTTCATTCCTATTTCCAAACTGCCAAAAGTCTGACGAGTGACCAGGTCAGACCGGGAGAGTACGGTGGGTGGCATATGGTCTCGATATGCTCGTCGAGCTCGAGGTCCATCACTACACGGGCCTCGTCGGGCGGAGCGGTGTCCTCGCTCGAATGGACGCTGGTCGGTCCCATTTTTTTCCTCCCCATTGTCACGACGAGAGATTCCGGCTACCGCCTACAATTAGGTGATGGATTTAGCACAGCCTGTATTCTCGTACCAGCTCGCTTGCTATCACTAGCTAGGGTACCGGTGGCGCAGTGGTTAAGGTGCGCGTCTGGGAAACCAGATGTGCGTGCTCGATTCCCGGCAGTGCCCGCCCTTTCCGCCAGGGTGAGCAGCCTGGTTAAGGCACGCGTCTGGGAAACCAGAGGTGCGGGATCAATACCCCGCAGTCCTCGCCCTTTCCGCCAGGGTGAGCAGCGGGCGACGCCATGTAAATTCAGCAGCTGATTGCGTCGTAAAGCCACGATTACCGCTCTTTGTTATACCTCAGTGATGGCAACATTAAATAACTGAAGCTCGTGACAGATATTCGATACCGGTGCGCGCTTGCACCGCACACATAACGCGGCCAGCACAGTTGTTTCATTGTCCTCACTCGGTTTAAAGAGTTTTCAGAGCCATAAAGGACCATATGCATTCAATATCTCGAAAAAGGCACTGGAATTGGACAACACCAGATACCGAAAGATGGGTTTCACTGTCGCTCTTGACATCAAATGTCTGGCATGGTATGCTCATATGAAAAGACCCACACATTTTTTTGTCGCTTTATCAATGTGTGAATGGTAGCTCATGCGCCTATTCATTGCAATGTTAATGTTCCCTACAACTTCAGTGTTTGGCATGCGGTGTACCTGTACAAGAATTGAGCTGAGCAGGCAATTTAGGTTCAGAGCCTGTCAGGAGTATCTGCCATTACAATCTACGTTTTCGCACCATTTATATACTTTCCGTTTAGGTATTGTCATTTTAATCGTGACGCCTTTATAGTACCATATTTTTTGGAAGAGTCCGTGTATTTTTCCCCGGTGGCCAGAAATTTGCCATCGTCCGGTAATCGTGCGACGGTCACCGACAATCGTCCGACGAGAACAACAATAGTTACCGATGGTGAACGACGATGGTTCCCGATTGTGCGTGGTCGTTTGAAAACAATATGAAGAGAACACAGGTTGAGAAAGCCTGTGAAACGTTCATTCCACCTTTTTGAACAGAAAACTGCTATGTTTTTTGTGTAAAGGAGCTTGATCAGTGCCCGGGTGAGTGTGACAAAAATGAAGTTCCGAGCTGGTCTGAAGCCGAGTTGTAAGAGCTTATGGTTAGCCGAAATGTAAATTTTGTGTAGTAAATGTACATTTGGAAAAAACATTACTCACCACATGGATGTAAAGGGCGTTTTCAGAGAGGACTCACTGCTCTCCTCCCCCCACCCAACAGCGCAAAATTTGGTGTCCTATCGTATATCGTATACTGTGCATATGATATATATATATATATATATATATATATACATATACATATAATGTATATCATATAAGCGTATGTGTATCACACGAGGTTACGCGCTCCTCGCTGGCAAAGGTACACGATGTCAGCATCGCGCCGCTGAACGCAGTGTCGCGCGATATGGTCACAGGTCCGCTGTTGGACTTGTTT